TTGCTCCATTTGGCGACCTTGTTGAGCTGTCTCTGCAGTTTGGCTTGGATGACAGGGCCCTTCCCGACGGTAGTGAAGGCTACATCATCAGCGTATATGTAGCCTTCTGTGTTCTTGTTGATTGGAAGGTCCGCCATGAAGATGTTGAACAGGGTAGGGGCCAGAACCGCCCCCTGCGGTACTCCTGACATCATTGGCCTGCTTGCAGAGAGCTGCTCGTCTGCTCTGACTTGGAAACTGCGTCCAGACAAATAACTGCTGATGAGCTTGGTTTGGTGCCCTGGAAAGCCTGCCTTGATCATCTTGGCAATCAGGGCCTGGTGCCAAACCTTGTCAAATGCCTTGGACATGTCCAGGAAGACGGCTCCTAGACATTTTCGGCGATTTAACACTTGTTGGATTCTCGTTGTTAGCCGGGCGGCAAGTGTGGTTGTGCCATGGCCCGGCCTGAATCCATGTTGCTCATCCAGCCAGCGGTGACCGCTAAAATAGTTCTTCAAATATAAGAGTTTTCTAACGCACATCTATGACTGTCTAGCTCACGTAAGAGTGTTTGTCTGTTATTTCAATACACATTTTTGTCACATTTTCAGAACTACAGACTTTCTCAATTAGTTGGATATTTTCTATTCTTTACAACATCTCTTTTCAGTCTTCGACTACTGAAATTGTATGATCTCCTTCTTCTTCTGTATGATATTTTCTTTAAACGAAGAAGGAATCCGAATGATCGAAAGCTAGAATGGAAAAGCAAACAAAGTCCCAGATATAGTAAGCCAATGAGGAAGCTATTTCGATAGAAAAAATGCAATTAGAAAGTAAACATTTGAAGAAGAACAACAAAACTTAATAATATTTTGTATAATTGGAAAAGATGAATCTCGGTATCCAATGCGAGCTATATTTATTGTTTGAAAGTGGTAGTAACTGAAATTTGTTTAATAGCAAAGCTTCATATGGTATGAACCTTAATGATTTGTCACTCAAATCGAGCCAATATACAAAACAACCCAAGTCTAAAAGTATTAAGAAAAACTTCTCAGAATATAACATATCAATTCATGAATCAGCGAAAGTTCTTATACAGGGTTTCCCGTAAGCTGATGATCAAAAGCATACTGCGATATTCTTTGGGCCAAAAGAAGACGATCTGACATAACTTTTATTAACAATCAATGTCTGGCTCCTCTGCTATTGATGGTCAAAGTTCTTCGAAAAATTTATCTTTTTTGAAATATGGGGAGAATGGTACGATGTCTTTTAGTAAAACTGGCTGTGAATTTGTTCTTATGTAAGACTCGTATTTTGATGAAACAATCGAGTTCAGCCGTTTTGGACAAGTGGTGAATTCTTGAGTGTCGTGGTACAAAAACTACCAGAACTTTTTAGTTGGAAGATGAAATCAACTCTTTTTTTTTAGGTTGATGCACTAATCATTTATTCACAATTTTGTGCGCTTTATAAAATCGTGTAGCATTCATAGTTTTTGCAAATTTGTTTCCTTGCCACTTCACAATGTTCGACACTAACTGCAAATATCGTGATAAGAAGCATAAAATCTTTGTCAATCAACCTCACAAATTCGTTTTGAATGACCTTTTCTAATGAAAAAGTGACCGACATGGTCAAAGTATTAGGGTTTTGCGAAGACAATTTGCGTGAAAGCGTACGCGTTTACGCGGCGCATATTTGCAGTAAATGTCTAGCATTGCTAAGTGACTACAAAACAGACATATTTTTTTACGCAAAAACTATGAAGGCTATAAGATGTTGCAAAGAGCACAAAATTGTGAACAAATAATTAGTGAATCAACCTAAAAAATGAGTTGATTTCATCCTCCAACTAAAAACTGGTCCAAAACGGCTGAACTCGATTCTTTCATCAAAATATGAGTTTTACATAAGAACAAATTCACAGCAAGTTTCACTAAAATACATCGTACGATTCTCCCGATATTTCGAAAAAGATAAACTTTGACCATCAATAGCAGAGGACCCAGACATTTTTTGTTAATAAGTTAGGTCAACTCGTCTTCTTTTGGTCCAAAGAATCTCGCAGTACCCTTTTGATCATGAGCTTACGGGACACCCTGTATAGGGTAACCCAAATTGGTTTAAATTAAAACATTAGTATTATTTTTGCATCAGCTCGTGGGTAAAGTCAAGTAAATTTAGTCGCCTTTGTCCATCTAATTTTAATGCGTTTCATAAGGGCAATATACTCCCTATATCTGAGAAAAAAATAGCGAAGCCACCACTGCTCCACCATTAGCTAAATGGTTGAAGTTGCAGCGTTAAAAATAATCCCCCTTGCAAACCAAAAAATACGACATTTTTAGACCGCATACTTTCCTGGATACTTTTATTTACTTTAAAAGAAACTGTTCTGGAGTGAAATTAAGTTTGTTATTAATATAATACTATATATTAATAGTTTAAAGTTCCATTTCATTTCATGACTTCTATGTAGCAACTGTTTGGTAATTAAAAAGCGACCTTCATTTAAAAAAAATTGTCAAAAGAAATCTACCCCTGAATTGATTTTTGAAGTAGATACCAGAAAGAAGGAAATTCGTATCTAACATATATTAGAAGTTTCCACTTTTCAAATTTGAGTAAAATCGTTTCCGAGTCCATCTTCATTTCGTTTGCATTAAATTGTACGGCATTTTGCGCGTCACTAATGGAAAACGAACTGAAAGCAAGAAACGAACGTAAAAATCGTTTATTTTTTTGCGTTTTACCAAGCATTAAATAGTGACGACGAGGATAAATACATGTTAGCGCTGTATTTATTGGTGTATGCTAAAAATATTAAATACAAACGCAGATTTTTTTATAAATCAAGCCTATTAAAGTTGTGTAGTCTGTATAGAACACGATTTTTTTTATTGTGAGTAACTTGAAAACTTTATCCAGTATGCTTCTTTTTCAAACCTCACTAAAGAAATTTTGCAAACCATAAGAGATACAAAGTATCTTAAATTAGGGCAAAATCATTTAAAAGCTTGGAAATTTTGAATGCATTTGGATATATTCGAAAAAAAGGAAGGAAGGAAGGAAGGAAGCAGTGTGCACATACAAGAAAATCCAATCAAACGAGATGTATATTTGTATTAAAGTGTGTATATATTGATCAAGGGTGTGGTGTGAAAAAAAAATACTGAAAATTGGACCATACGATTTAATATTTTTCAGCGTTTAGTTAAAATGATATTCAAAATCTTTTAATACTTTTGCATGGTCACTTTTTTCGCTTTACAAAATGTAATTGTTTTAATCCGACATTTCGACATTTGGCAGGCACTATCAATTTTTTTTCTGTGAGCCATCATATTGGATTTTTTACTGGTATAACTTAGGTCCCAAAAATTATTGACATTGATCCTAGTAAATTTTAATTTTTTTTTAGTCTCCACCATAGAGAAAGTAAGTAAAGTAAAATTATTTTACTTACTCTATGGTCTCCACTATGAAAATCAATCAAAGCCTTTCTAAAGCAGGTTCCATACGATTTTTGTAGATGAAAATAACTCCAAGTCTTATGATTTTCAAGAAGTGAAATCTTAATTAGCAGAAGAAACGGTTTCCATATAATCCTGTTTCAAAACTGAATAGTTATTTATATAGCGCCAATAGTTCTTAATTGTCTGATATATCTTGTCTTGCACATTCCTTCTGTGCCTAACAGAGTCAAGATAAAAAGAGTGTCTAATAACAATTCCGTTCTTAGCTAAAAACTGATATTCAGTTTCATATTGTCTTGCTTTAGAACGTCACAAACAACTATAATGAAGAGCATATTAATTTCGGAATTGATTTTTAATTACGTGAAGAATAAAACACCGAATTAAGTTTACCAGGGCCAAATACCATCATATAAACAAAATCTGCTTAATCTGAAAGTGAATATTAAACAAGTTAAGTCCAGATTTATTCCAGCAAAGCTGCAAAAACATTAAAATAAACAAACAAGTAAGTTTGCTCTAAAATCTATGCGGTTAGTCAAAATTTGGTGAATAGGACAAGGAGCTTTACTTCAGGGGCGATAAATATCAATTTGCCCTTGGCTTTACTGTATAACGTTGAATGCGGACTTTTTCTAGGGCGTCATAATTTTATTACACTTTGGTGCATTTTTCCTCTGAATTGTAGTAATCAAACTATCATAAAATATCATGGTGTTAAAAGCGTGGAAAGTCAAATAGAATAAAATATTTTTAATTACATTTTTAATTAATGAATTTCTATGAAATTTTATTGAGATTTAGTTTTTCAGCAATTAAATTATTTTTTTAAACATAATGCTATCTTATCAATGAATGACTTGTTCCTCCAGTTCTGGTAAAAGAAACTATCGTACCCTAAATTACAAAGAATTCAAGATTCAATTTCATATTCTTCTTCCAGAAGTGCTCAATTATTCATTAAAATTGGTCCAAATCAAGACAGAACTAGATCACAAGATAAATAGGAAAACGAAAGAGTGATGATCAATTTCCATCACATAGATTAGATAAATCGTGTTCGGGTTTCAGACAGTAGTTTAAAAGTTTTTGAACCAGACTGGAGGAGACGTAAAGTTTTATGGCTTAATACTTCGAAAGTGTGGTCAGAGTTATATGGCGATCAAGCCTGAGCCAGCATGCAAATTTGATCAGTTACGAAGTCTTGTGTCATGAATTTTACGACATTTGCCATAATATACATATACACAGGGCATTAATGACAACTTAATTAGTAAAATGCAATTATCTTTCGAGTTTATATCATGAAAGGAGAATACTTCAAATACAGGGTTGTATATAGTTTATTAGATGGGACGGATCAATCGTAAAATTCTGGAAACAACTGAGGGAAATTTAAAATACTTTGGTTATTGTGGTTATTTTTGGTTGAAGATAGTTGGTTAAGGACTAAGTAGTGTTAAGTTTAAGAAGCACCGAAATGAAAAGTTGAACGGCTATCTGTAGATTCAATAATAGTAATGAAAAAACATCGAATTAAGACAAGATATTTTAGTCAAAAAGTGGCGCCTATTTCGATAATCCATTGAAACAGAGTTCATAATCTATTAGAACAGAATTTCAAATATACAGGGTGATTCAAAATTGGCGTCATTCCTCTGGAGGTGTTGTCTGGCGCTGTTATAGGAGTACAGAAAAAATAGTAAAATAAATTAATTGTTATTAAAAACTGAGAAATTTGCAAAAAACTATATCAGAAATACGGCAGCAATGTTTTTCAAGGTAATCTGCCTAATTAACATTGCGCAAATACCTGTTGCTTCGTAATTATTTAAAACTCCGGTAACCATGGAATTATACAGGGTGATTCAAAATTGGCGTCAATCCTATGGGGGTGTTGTCTGGCGGTGTTATAGGAATACAGAAAAACTAGTAAAATAAATTAATTGTTATTAAAAACTGAGAAATTTGGAAAAAAACTATATTATAAATACGGCAGCAATGTTTTCAAGGTAATCTGCCTAATTAACATTTCGCAAATACCTGTTGCTTCGTAATTATTTAAAATTCCGGTAACCATGGATAAATAGAGAGTGACAATAAGATAGACACGGATAAAAGGTAAATTCGACGGGAATCGTTGAATGACGGAACCTATTTCGAAATGTCAACCTGTTCTCATAACCTCGAATTCTGCGGGGCTTGGTGTTTACATAAATAATCCATACAACACCAAACATTTGAATGGTTAACTCCAAACAAGCGTGTGCCTCCTTATTATCCACTCTTATCAAGCAGCTTCTCGTATTCAGTTAATTAACTCCTGCTCCATTTGTATCTCCTTGTTCTGTGTGTATCGTACAAACGTGGTAGGAATGTAGCCCTT